ATATTTACGATACTTTTCCTGCGGGAACCGTGTTCGTTTGATGTACGATAAGCTTTAATATTTCAAATACCTTATAGTTACCACCACCAACCCAAGAAACACGTTACCTGCCAACTATGAATTTATTCGTAGTAGTGAGTGCGCGCTCAATGCCAGGTACGATTATAGTAGTAAGTATAGAGTCGTACAACTTTTCATAAGTTAAAAACGTTGGCAATGAAAGGAGGTTGAGAAAGAATTGTTTGGCATTGGAAATAAAAAACTGTTTAAAGCGCTATATGCATGAAATATATATATATATATTTTAAGTAACAACATGAATATTAATTTATGTGCTTTGGGTAAGCTTTGAAACAGTTATCAACACAACGAGCTAGTTTTTTAGCGTAAATAGAACAACGGCAAATGGTCTCTTTACGTTTTTTTTTTCATTTGTTCTATTGCCTGCTTATTGTTAGAGTCAGACTCCTAGCAGAATGCTAGCAGCCTATTCAATATTTTCACGCTCTGACTTGTAACTGGACGGCTCGTCAGACTTATTCCTACTTGATACTGATTAATACTACCTTCTTCCTCTCCTAAATGAATTCTAACTTGGCGACGGATTGAAAACGAAAGGAGTTGGCGAATACTAAATATTCCTTCCAACGAATCGCTATCAGTTGCCTCAACTCAAAAATAGGCAAAATTTTACGTTTACGCGACACGAGAAATCCAAAAGTAATCAGATTATGTTGGTAAATAAATGTTGTTCACCTTGCAGCGATCAAATAGAACAATGGTAAATGACAAGTGTAGGTTTTCTACACGCGAAGAAAGAGCGCTCGCACCGCGCAGTTACCACGTTTTTAGTTAGTGATCCACAGCATGGGTATGGACAGTAGTAGGCGCATTTCTCTCGCCTAACTGGATCGAAAAATGAATTACGCACATAATATATGTACGTAGTTGACAAATAACATGAAAAAAATGTATGCACTGAGCTAAACTACCGGACATACTCATAGTATTGTTCAGATTCCATTGCTCTTTATGAGTATTCTTGTAGATGGTATTTTGTATGAGTGACAATAGATATGGAAACAATATAACTACTACGAGTACAATCGAAGTTAGCAGGTAACGTTTTAATTGACTTTCACGAAACTTGACATAATTAGCAAACATAAGCGTTTATGTCGACGATTGTATCAATATTTCAGACACTTTATCAGGTTCAGTCATTTTAAGTTACAACCTATATACGTTCCACTGCTGGGCACAGACCTACTCTCATTTCTGAGAGTGTTTTAGGGCAAGGAAGTGTCCGCCGCGCTGCCCCAATGCATGTTGGCGGTCTTCACATATTTTTTTCTTATTTCTCAGACATGCAGGTTTCTTCACGATCTTTTCCTTCGCCGCTAAGCAAGTAGTAAATCAGCACTTAAAATTACAACTAACAACTTCATTGGTGCCGGCGGCGATCGAACCTGGATTGCTCGCGTACTGGGAAATTTACAGCGAGCGCTTAGTCGCTCGGTCATTTACTACCTTTAATTTCTATGTACGTAAGCAAACTGATATTGGTTCATCAATCGCAATTATAACAAAAAAGCATCATAATTATGCTTTGTTATGTTTGGTGAGTGTACAGAACCGTCTATTTTTTTACTGGTACGATTTCCATCATTTAGTCCTCAGGAGTTAAACGCATTTGCTTTTTTATTTTAAATCGAAGATTAATATATATCCTTGGGCCACTACTCTCGCCTACTAATAGGTGGAGTTTGTGCTCGACTGTCATCGTTATTTGCATAAAAATCACGTGAACAGTAAAGAAAAATATCGTGATGCAATCAGCATTCACGCCAGAGAAACAGATAATCTATACGTGGTAGCTATGTTGCAGCTATATGGGTAGTATAGTTGTAGCACGAATGGGTCAGCTCGACCGTGGAAGGACCACGCTCTCACAGAATACCAGCGTAAAATAGCAGCTCAAAACTGCTGTTTTTCGTATGGTGAGTGTAGAGAACCGGAGACACTTTTTACTGGAAACAAGGCTTCCATCTTAGTCCTCACAGGTGGCAACGTATCTGCATTTCGATTCGTGGTTGAGGATGGATGAAGATGTCTATTGGCCACAGCAACTACTTACAGATGCACTGTGTGCTCGTTTGTCACATTTCACATTATCCTATAAAAAAAAGACAAATGAAGTCTGCCAATCTACACTGAGAATCGTGGAGACCCCGTTTCAGAAATCAGGTATGTCATGGATAGGATAAACTGTAGTAATTTACTGTATAAAACGGGCGATATATTTTCAATACACTCAACATTGAAACGTTTGTTGACTCAGTGGCTAAGCATTTCATTGCGGCGTTGCGGGCTGCTGTTTCGAATCCCGCACGGAATAAGTTCTACTTATAATATTATTCCGAGTCTGGATGTTTCTCCGTGTGCAATTTATGTATGTAAAACGCTTCCAGGAGAAAATCATTTTATGGGGTAACTTTTATAATACATAACACATCAATGAAAACCTCGTAACTCAATAGTTTTTTTGTTTAAATTTGCAACTATGTGTACCTTTAAAACAAAACTTAATAAAATATTTGTCTGTTTTGTTATATTTTTTTTTTCAAAACTATCATAAATTACAAAAGTAAATTTAACATTATCAAGCACATGGCACATCATGAGATTTCGTCGGCGCATACAACGCGACCACCGCGTTGCCCTCCGACAATCACACAGAGGACCGGCGCGCGTAAACAAGACCATTGTTGACTCTTCCCTTGCTCTGTTTGCTGTTTGACAGAAGTCTTACAGGTCGTTAACACGTCACGCTCACGCCTAACAGGAGGACATTGTCAACATGGCCGCCACGGTAACCTTCATAATTAAATCATAAGACGAGTAATTATTAGTCAGATATTACAAGGAATGTTTCAAAGTAAAATGTGTGGACCGGATGTGTTGTTTGTTCAATGATACATATTCATAAATTGCAAAATATGCATTGGTTTCATTTTTAAAGTGAGTTCTTTTTTTATAGAATGTGTGTGACAAACGAGCACTCAGTCCACCTAATCGTAAGTGGATGCTGTGACCCATAGATATCTACATCTATCCTTGAATACGAATCAAAATGCAGATGCGTTGTCACCCGTGAGGACTAAAATGGAATGCCTTGTTTCCAGTAAAAAGGGTCTCCGGTTCTCTACATTCACCATACGAAACACGGAAGCGTTAAGCTGCTATTTTACACAGGTATTTCTGTGAGAGCGTGGTGAGCCAGACCATTCGTGCTACAACGAATAAGTACTTCATATTAATATACGCGCGACAGTTTTTTTCCACAAACCTATTTTATATATTTTAGACAAAATATTGTCATCCCCAATCGATCCAATAATGCATGTTGGAGAAATACTTTTTTTATTTTACAGAAATGCAGATTTCCACAAAACGCCGAGCACTTGGTAAGTCAGCACTTAAAATTGAATTAACAATTACGTTTATGCCGACAAGGATCGAACTGTAAAATTTACAGCTGGCGATTAGCTCCGAAGCTATTATGACTTATGACCCATAAAATTTTCTTAGCTTGATACACTGATATCATATTCTACTCTATGGCTAACATGCTACCATTTTTGTTATAATCTGATTCTCTTAAGTCGCCACAAGTTGTCTAATAATAATAACGTCCTCCTGACTGACTCAACGTAGTCTAGCCACCAGGTGGGATTGTGGTAAAGCACTGGCTTATCTGATTTTATACAGACCCCGGCACCTCGTAACCATGCGACCACTGATCGTAACACTGATCTATCTATTATTCAGAATACTGTATACAAAAAGTGATAGCTTTGCGCGCCAATATTTATCCTCGATTAAAAATACAAATGGAGATACATTGTGACACCAGAGGTTAAAGATGGAATGCCTCGTTCACAGTAAAAAGGATCGCCGGTTCTCGTCACTCATCATACAGAACACAAAAGCATTATGTTGCTATTTTACGCTATTATTCTGTGAGTGTGGTCCTTACCTGCTTAAGGGCGGATTCGATCAAATACCATGTTACTTCAGAGTAACTAACCCTCGAATAATTTTACTCTTTGGTCTTACTCTCAGATAACTTCATTTGCGTTTTTCCAATACAAACGTAGAGTAGCTAATACTGGGTATTGTTACTCTAGAGCAGTGATGCACAGATTTATTAAGACTAGGGGCCACTCGGGCAAATTATGAACTTATGGCGGGCCGCCAGAAGGTAATTAAAGACAAAGAATTGATAATAATGTATTAAAATTGAAAAATAATTTATTAATTTGAAGCGTGGCACTGCGTAATGCTTACAATCTTTTTTATATTTGGCTCAAATTTACTTGTAGCAACACGTAAAACTGCTTCCAAACTTTCATTTGCAAGGCGGTTTTGATTTTTTGTTTTATTATTATTTAGTATTGAAAAGGTTTGTTCACATATATAGGTAGAACCAAATAAGCTGGCACATTTGGTTTATGCGCAACTCTTTGTACGTATTTTTATCAATGCAGCGGTAAAGGTTCAGCAAGTCTCCTTCGTTGAATTTGTTGCGTAAATCTTGGTCGCTTTGAATGTCGATAATTTCTAACTGCATTGACTTTGGCGCATTTTCAACTGAAATCGTGAAAGGATTGCTGAATATGTCCAACAGAGGTTTCACTTTTTTAAACTCCGAAAATCTGTCTTGAAAAGATTGAATCAAAATATTTAGCTTTTCTACATAACTGAAATTAATCGCAGTTTTGTTGAATTTTTCAGCCATTTTCTTATAATTCGGAAAATGATTGTAATTTCCAGAATTCAATTGCAATCTGAAAAGTGTCAGCTTGCATTGAAAGGATGATACATGAGCGTAGAGCCGGGATATCAGTTGATTTTTGCCTTGAAGCCGTGTGTTCAAGACATTCAAATTATTTGTAATATCAACTAAAAAAGCCAAATCACACAACCAATCAGGATTTTTAAGTTCCGGGACATCCCTTTGCTTTTCCGCCAGAAATATTCCAATTTCTTAGCCACCTTACTTCTGTATAATACAGTAAATCTCCATATTCGCTTTCGATGTCATCAAGGAATTGTCTGAATTGCCTGTGATTGAGTCCTCGTGATTTTATGAAATTTACAGTCGAAACTACCACTTTCATGACATTTTGAAATTCAATCTTTTTAGAACAGAGGGCTTCTTGGTGTATAATGCAGTGAAACTGCATGAGATATTCAGCGTTTATGTTTTTTTCTTGCAGATGCTTTTTCAGCAAAGTAACTAGCCCAGAATTGACACCAATCATCGAAGGAGCACCGTCAGTCGCAACTCCCGATAATGCAATATTACCTGACAAAGACATAATTCGTCTTTGGATAGTCATACGATTCAGTTGAATTTTCTCAAACTTTTTTGCTGCTTCTGGACACATTTTCTTAGCGGCAATTTCTATGCATTCTTTTACAAAATCCCCATCATTGAAGGGGCGACTTCGCTTTGCTATCATTCGAGAAATTTCATAATTAACTTCTGTAGCTGTTTCTGAATCTTGAATGGGTTTTGTAAACATAGCTTGCTGACCAATAAGCTCCCGTTTCAAAGACAACATTTTTTGCTTTCTTAATTCGCCTGTAAACTTGGTAAAAGTAGGATGTTGCGTTTCATATTGCCTTTTTACATAATATTCCTTTGCAATCGCAACAGAATTCTTTATAATTAAACAAACGACTTTGTTATGCAACCATACAAAAAAGTATTTCTCAGTCCAAATTTCTTGAAACTGCCGATTTTCATCTTTAACCTTACGTTTTTTACTAGGTCCTGGCTTGTCCATGTTGCGTTCTAATCCTGGCTGGGATTAACAGAGCACCTAAAAACAATTACAGAACCCACTAAAATTACCCATCCTTTTTTAAATTACCAAAAATAATTGATTAAATAGGTAGGGAAACACTTATTAATAACAGAGTTTTACTTACGATTTCACAACGTACACGGCACTTGACGGGAAATCTACGTTGAATGTGGATCAAAATATATGACACCGGCTAGTCGAGTTAAATCTACACTAGAACTATTGACACTTCACTCAAATTAAAACCGAACTGTCGGTCGCTGCGGTTAGCGTAGCTTTTATACCGCGCGTATAGAGTCGAAAACTGTCTGGAGAAATCACGAAACCGACTCTGGAAGCTTCGTGTATCTACCTACGCAAGCAATCGGGAATTCGGGACTATTGCTATCTCGCTTGCTCTAACAATATAACCCGTGGATAAGCCGCCACCGCGCTGTCGTCGTCGCCGCGCCGCCGGCCGCGGCGGTTCCTCAAGAAAACGAATTTAACCGAGATCAGCACGAACATTACCGACCGCTGTTACCGACGCATGCACGGCGCACCGATAAGCGCACTTAAGAGCGCGCGCGCGAGATTCAAATTACTTTTCGAACATATTTTTTTTGGTTTTATTCTGAAATATAATTTAATATTTTTCGAATGTACGGGAGTATTATTTTTGCTGTCGGCGGGCCACCAGTATTCGAGCGGCAGGCCGCATGCGGCCCGCGGGTCGCGGTCTGTGCATCTACGCTCTAGAGTTAGTGAATGAAAAATGAATGAACATGTAAGCCAACTAATATCGAAATACACTTATTTATATAGCGCAATGCAAGATTTTCTGTCCACTTAGTTTTGCCGGATTATATTAGTGTCAACTGTCACTGAACACTAGAATATTAACACGAGTCGAGTTGTTAGTTGATTATTCTTCTAATCTTATTCTTATCTTCTATATTTCGTAAATGTTGTGTTATTACAAAAAATAATTACTAAAATTATCACAAAAATACAAGAAATTATAATTTATTAATTTTTCAACAAAGAATACGAAAACAGTTGTTAAAATGTAGCGGCCGCCATTAAAATACTCTGGGATAACTTGTTTACTCCATGAATTTTGGTGGTATAACAATTTACTCTCGGATAGACGGTTATACCTGGGTTAAGATTTGGTAAAACGAAAGTTCTCTAACTCGAGAGTAATTAGTGATTCTATTCTCAAGATAAGACTTATACTAAGTTTGGTCGAATCCGCCCTATATGGTAGCTGTACCACACATTAAATGACAGTGTCCTGAGTAGCGGCCGCTCAAAATTTATGACGGACTCGTTGTGCCACACGCCTTGCCAAATATTAAACCAGTTATATATTTACCTAGTCTCCTCTCTTCTTTTCCGCGTAGGAGTTCGTCTGGATAGTCAATTCTCTTATTTATTCCTGCCGCCAAATAGTAATACCTGCACTGCAGTGTTGCGGTCCGAAGGGTATTGAGAGCCAGTGTACAGACTGTGGACTTAGTCCTCAGGGTTGAACACAACTGTAACCTTCTAGTCTACAATAGCCACTTACCTATAGTTGGACTGAAAGTCCGCTTATCACTTTTTAATTAAAAAAACTATAGAGACGAGGTCGAGTCAGTCATCTAATTAAAGACACTTTAATAAGATACCTGAATCAACCATATACATATGATAATTACGTTAGTATCCTAATCATCATTACAGGCCCTTAAAAGCTAGCTCAAGAGTCCGCTCGCCGTAAATTTCATATTATGTTAACAATCCCAGTTCAAACCTCAACCGCACCACTGAAGCCGTTAATTATAGTTTTGCAATTATATTTGCTGATTTACCACGTACTCGGCGGCAAAGGCAAACATCGTAAGAAAATCTAAATACACTAAAATAGAATATAAAAAAATAACAAGTTGATAAGTGGATTAAACTAGATACAAAGATAATTAAAATATTATATGATGTTTTGAGTGTGAGAGATATTTAGCAACATTAATGTAATTACAAATTGTTATACTTATTTTGTAAACGTCAAACATAATTACAATTTATTTTTATTAACAGAAAATTTCAAATGTTAAAACTTCATACATACGATTACCAATAACATTTTTGTTCATCATGGTAGTATTCGCGAAACATCTTTAATGTAATAATATTACATGTTTATTTTGCTATCACCAAGTTGGCTGCAGGTTTCCGTGGACTGCAGTAGTGATTCAGCATTGGGTGAATCACTGCCGGATTAAGCAAGCACGGGGCCCGTAGCAAATTTTATCGAGGGGCCCTTGATCCACTATGGGTTCTTAAGTATAAAATTTTATAAACCAATTTAATACTCAGTACGTATATTTGCCATCTATAGGTAACAATTTTGTTGGTGTTTCATAGTAGAAAAAGAAGCTGACGAATTATTGTAAATCTTTTTTAGTATACATATTTCGAAATTTTGTATATATTATATTTTTGGGAATAGCTAATGTTATATTTTGTTAATGGTGTACCTTAAATTATGTGTACATTTTATCTGTTTCTGTTATTATCTACTTTTTAAACTTATTTTCTAGATTTCGTGTCAAAATTTAGAAATCTAATATCCGTATCAGGTTCTCTAATCAAATCATATTCTATATTCATCAGAGAGATAATTCAGGCGTTCTTGAGTGTTCCTTAGTTTATTTTTTATACGGTTCAATGTTGAAAATGAACGTTAACAACTGCAGTTATTGATCATGAGAGACAATAAATTCGCAAAGCAGTTTCTAAATTAGGGAAACATGATTCTAATGAATTATCCATTAAGAATTTATAATATTGAATTTTCAGAGATTCGATTTTCGTACTGTCAATCGCATTAACCACACATACGTTTTAAGCAGCTCGTCAAACTGCACTAATTCGCCGTCTATTCTGTTTTCCGAACCATTTGCATAAGCACCGAACATAATTGGAGTTTCTTTCAAAACCTCTTCAGCTGCATTAGATTTTAACTATCCAAATATACCAAAAACACTAGTTACATTTTGGTATGCTTTTATGCGTTTATCTAAAGCACCAATAATGACGACAAACACCTCAATTTCGAATTGTTTACTAGGTGTTTCTTTTTTAACAAATTTCTCAAGTGGAATCGCGAAAATGGTCGAACTTTGTGTTTCGCCGGCGTCGTCTTGAAGTCTGTTGCTGATATATTCATGACAACCTGTCAGAACTTTGGCTTTTGCTTCAATATCTGAAAATGTGATTCGCACTGTTTGGACAAATCCATAAAATGATTAATAAAGGCTGTATCCGTATCTATACCACGTAATTGTCATTTCCGTTTCATGCATTTAATGCATTGCTTGCTTGATCCAATTAATTTGATAATATCCTCACATGATGTTTTAGAGAAATATGACGTGTGTCTTTTTTTTTCCTTTACGGGCATAAGTTTACCGTATGGGTCCTAAAAAACTGCTGGCGACAGAAAATTTACAGTTTGGTCGTGCGAAGCAGAAAATTCCGTGTGAATCGCACATTAGTGGATTGTCAGCCATCGCGATGATGAGGATGGAACTTCGTGTTTTGTCGCAAAGTACGATGGTGGAATTCAGCAGCTGGAATTAATCCGAACAATGCCTCTGAGTACTCCCCGTGGTATATGCGGTAGAAGATGCATAGAGATGCAACGGCTCCTCGGAAGGCCAGTGGATCAAGCCGATCGGAGCGAACTTGATTGTCGACAATTCGGTCCACTTTCTATTAATTACGGTCAAATGGAAGGAACTGATACTGGGGTGCCCCGGCCCAGAGATGAGAATTGAGAGTCAGGTAGACAATAAGATCTCCAGCTGAGCGACTTCGATGAAAACTGTATTGACGGTCACTAATCAGCTGATGCTCTTCAAGGTACCGCATGAGCTGGCAGTTAAAAATGGATTCCATTATTTCGGAGAACAAGAAGGTGAAAGCGATAGGTCTGTAGTGGAACGGGTGCGAGCGGTCACCTTTTTTAGGGATCGGGTGTACTAAGGCTCTCTTCCATGAGCCTGGAACGACGCCTAAAAAGTAAGAGAACCGTAAAAGACACGTAAGAGCCAGTGCCAAATCGGGAGCACACGTGTTCAATACAATTGGGGGGATTCCATTAAGCCCACTTGACTTGGTGACGTTCAGGGACAAGAGTCCTTTGCACACCGACAGCTGTATAAACAGCACATACGGCATAGAGGGCTCACACTGCAGGATGGTCGGCGGTATGTTCCTCCGTTGTCGAATGTCGAGTTGGACGCAAAAAGAGAACCTAAAAGATCGGCTTTTTCCTTCTCGGCGTGAGCCAGCGAGTCATCCTCCCTTCGCAAGTAATGATGGCTTACAGAAATTTCCTTGGGCAGCCATAGCGAGGGATCAGAACGCACGAGTTCTCAAAGGAAGGCGAACTAGTTTCCTGCCAATTCACCCTACCGTTTGCATGCCGGGATGTCGTTGCCGTTACGTCAGCCCAGGCCTTGTAACACTCCTGATTTTTTGCAGCAACGCAATTTTGCAGGAGTTGGATGCTAACGCTGAGATCGCTGCCGATAGGCACTACAGATGATGGGATGAAAGCTTCTATCCTCTGAAGCACTACATCGGCGACAGACTCAGCAACGTTTTTTTGGGATCATTCAGCGTGAAACAAATCCACCACCGGCATCCAATCCTAATTCGCTGACCTATAGTGCCACACACGGCGGCAGCCTCCCGATCGTGACTGCAATGAGCAAGTGATGGGCACTGTACTCCGGATCAGGCAGTTATCGGAACAGCCAAGAGGTGCATCGACCTGATGGCCGTCCGGATGAGAGATCAGCAGAAAGTTCAACAGGGAAGGTGTAAGATCCTCCACATTTGGAATCTGCGTAGGTGAAGTGACCAGTTGTCTTACACCATATCCAAAGGTAAAGTCGTAAACAGATTTTCCCGCATGATCGGTAGTACGATAACCGAGCCAATCGGCG